TTATTAGATTGGATATTTCTGTTACAGGAATATAAATATGTGAAGTTTTGGATACACATTCAGTGCTCGTATGGCCTCTAAAGAGTAGGGCCTTTGGTCCTATGTGAGACTAGGCTAGAGGGGAGATAATAAAAAAAGAAACAAAACTTTCTAAACCCACACATAATCGTGGCTTCATGCAACCTGACTCATGTCATTATTTTACTTATTAAAAACATCTGTTACAACAAGATTTCTAATAAATTTATTTTTTCATCCAGGGTTTCTTCAGAGTTGACATTTGTTGTAAGGGCTGTCCTGGGCATTGTAGGTTAGTTAGCAGAATATTTGACCTCTACCCATTAAATGCCGATACACCCTCAGAAATGTGTCCAGGCATTGCAAAGTGTCTTCTTTTTTTATTTATTTATTTTTATATATTTTATTGATTTTTCACAGAGAGGAAGAGAGAGGGATAGAGAGTTAGAAACATTGATGAGAGAGAATCATCAATCAGCTGCCTCTTGCACACCCCTTACTGTGGATGTGCCCGCAACCAAGGTACATGCCCTTGACCAGAATCGAACCTGGGACCTTTCAGTCCACAGGCCGATGCTCTATCACTGAACCAAACCAGTTTCAGCAAAACAAACTTTTAAATCTTGGTTCATCTAAAAAATATTTATCGGTGTATGTGTACGTGTGTGTGCCCACACATGTATGAAGTTCTCAAGAAAAGTTAAATTTTCTATATTTATAATTTTTTTCTGTGATCACACTGCATATGTTTTCCTAAAAGTTTGTCAGCAGTTTTCTTTCTCATTTGTAAGGACTCTTTATATAAGAAATTTAGGCCTTTATCTTAATAGATGTTATAGATGTTTTCACTATTAATTTGTTCTCAACTTTATTTTTATTCTCTCAGCAATGAACTGTTTCAAATGATTCCTCTTTTGTGAGTTCCAAATCTATAGTCAGCTTCATATATAAAAAACTTTTTTAATGTTTCCTCCTAATGCTTTGAGTTTTGTTTTTATATTTAAATATTCAAGCCATCTGTGATAAATTTGAATATATGAAGTGAGACCAATATACTACCTAAATTTCTATAAATACCATGATAATCTATTATATAAAAAAGGGCATTTCAAACAAGTAAGATAAAGATGGCTTAGTAACCAAATGCTATTGATATAATTGTCTCATATTTGGGTACAAAATATAATATAAAGCTGGGTCCATACTTGGTACTTGCAAGGAACTAATAGAAGCCCATTGTAGTTTAATGAAGGAGAAGCAGTATTTTAAGAATAATAGGTGACAACCTCATCTATTGGACTTTGTTAATTCAGGGTTATGGATTTGATCTTATTCAAATAGTGTTTCTTTTTCATGTTTGTTGGGCATGTTTCTTTTATACATGGCATATATTTTGAGTTTCACTTTTTAACCATTGAACATTTAAAATTTTGTATTATTAATATAATGGACATATTTGTATCATCACATTTTATGTAATATTTTCAGTTTTTACTATTTCCTTGGTCTCTATATTTTGCTAAAATTCTTGCAATGTTTTATTTTCCTAAGGAGTTGTAAACATTCACTATTGGCTTCTGGTATTATGTACTGCTAGAGAGAAAAATGAAGCCAACTTGCTTTTGCAGGTTAATTGCTTTCTTGCCTGACTATATTAAAGATTTGCCCTGTCTGGTAGACTTAATTGGTTGGAGCATTGTACCATAAATGAAAAGGTTGCAGGTACCATCCCCAAGCAGGACATGTACAACCAATGTTTCTCTCTTACATTGATCTCTCTCTCTCTCTCTCTCTCTCTCTCTCTCTCTCTCTCTCTCTCTCTCTCTCTCCTCTCTCCTCTCTCTCTCTCTCTCCTCTCTCTCTCCTTCTCTCTCAAAATTAATGAAAACATATTATTCGGTGAGGATTATAAGAAAGATTTGATCTTATAGAATTTTAAAACTCATGAATTTATTTATCAGGGTTTGTGTGGGTATTTATCTTTCTATATCTGTTGTTTTGTTTCCTAGGGACAAGGACAAAGAGTACCCTCTCCATTGGCTGATTAAGGATTTAGAATATTTCAGAACACTTTATTCTGCTATATCTTTGAACATTTTTTCTAATCTACTTATTCTGTTGTTGTTGTTGTTGCTGCTGCTGGTGTGTGTGTGTGTGTGTATGTGTGTGTGTGTGTGTGTGTGCGCGCGCGTGTGTGTTTATTTTAAGGTACAACCTTTTTGGAATTAAAAAAATCATCTTTGAAAGGTTATCAGTTTCTCTTAAAATCAATGTTAACCTTTGCCCTTTGGCCAACATTTGTTTTCACAAGCCTACTCCATTCTGACTGTAAATCCCTGATTGTGAATCCCTCTGAGTTTCAAGTCTTGGATTTATTTTCCTTCATGTAGCTTGCATCTTTTCTTATTTGTTTCCTTCTTTGATATCTTATGGTACATATCCAATTTTAGATATTGTTTTAATGAAAACACATACTTCTTTTAAAGCTCTCAAGGGATCACCAAGAGCATTCAAAATTTTATTCTGCCTAGTGATCTGGTTATTCTGTAGAAATGCTTTCCTATTATTTCTGTCACAGTGTCTTTTTTCTTTATTATTTTTGTTGATCTAGGAAAGATGGCTTCAAATTTGTCTCAGAACATTTTTTTTCATCAAATGTTTTTTGTTTCTTCCATGTTGGTCACCCATCACTTTTCAGTAGTAAGCACCTCTCTCACCATTTCTTCTCCTTGAGTCAGAAGCCTATGTGCCTGACAGTGAAGTTCTGCATGTTATGGGTTTTGTTACATGATTTTACATTTATTTCTTTCAGTTGTCTGCCAAGTGTCTGCTAAGTTGATTGCCATCTCTACTCTCCATCTACCCTGCCATTCTCCTCACTTGCTTCTTGGGGTGGAGGGAAAGAGAAAAGGCCTCCAGTGTCCTTTAGCTTCGGTTTGCCTGCTGTATTCAGTCAGTCCAGTAACTACAGCCATGACTTGTCCTTACCTCTAGATTCTATCTCTAAGTAAGAATTGGTTCAGCTATCTCTTGGGTTATTTCATGCATTTCTTAGAAATCTTTTGGCTTTGTAGGTTTTGTCTGCTATTGGCATGCCCCCTTGATCTTGTCATGTTATTTTCTATTCTATGTAATTTATAGCTTTAATTAGGGCTCTCTCATAGTGTCATTAAAAGTATTTCTTTTCCATTTTCAAGTTTTGCTAATTTCAATTGACATTGGGAAGGGGAGCAGTATAAATATCACTGCTCCACCTTCAACAAAAGACAATAAATTAACTGAATTAAGCAGTAAAATAGTGTTTACTAAATATTTATCAATGTTTGCTCAATTGTTTGAATAAGAGACTATAGATGTACGATGCAATCTTGGCAAGTTAGTTAAAAACCCCTGAAACAGTTTACATGTTTGTTTGAATCAGGTTGTGGATCCAGGCTCTCATTGCACTGAAGGATTATTTGCCAAGGCCTGGAGTGGTAGGGTAGCAGTGTGACTGAAACATCATTTTAGGAAGAGCAAATGTTAGAATAGGTATTGTAAAAATATTTTGAGTACAGAGCACAACAGAAACTTCTGAATTCTTAGTTCTCCACTAGTATGTCTTCACTGAGAATAGCCAGGCCTCCTGGGACCTCTTGGGAGATAGTTTGTGGAAGGATTTTTTTAAGGGCAGCAGCTGACTTAGGAGGGATCCTCAGTAGTTGGGTTTGTGTTCTTGTGGTTGTTTTTGCTTTGTTTTTAACTAGGAAAAGAGATGATGAGAGCTGTGCCTAAGAAAACTTCATCTGGCAATTGAATGGAAATATTTATTTGTTCCCACTGGAACTCAGTGAGTCCCTATTTGCACCAAATATCATATACTGTGTACAGTTGCACAGGAGAGGGAATAATTCCTATCTCAAGAAACTTAGTCTGGTGGAGTCAAGAAACTGATTTTGAAAATTCTGATTTAGTACAATTTCAGCAGCAGAGTTTATCTCAACCCAGATTATTGTGGGGCAGCTATTCTGTGTTGCCAGTGTTCCACCATGGTAAGATTCAGTCGGTCACAGTTTTATACCAGTGAAATCTGTGATTCTGGGATTAGCATGAAATACTTTTAACGTCTACACAAATCCTTGGAATCCTGTGGTAGCATATTGATTTAGCTGAATTTTAGATAGCAGCAGTTTGTATTTCCTATTTCTGTATTCACTCCCTTTTAAGTCGGGTTCCTGTTCTTCAACCTGATGACTTGCCCTGCTCTACTCCACTCTTACCATTTCCATGTCTTCTCCAAATTGCACCCGAGCAATCATTCTCTAAAATAGTTTTATTTACCTGTCATGCAAGTCCCTGGCACTTCGCTCTGTAGTAGTTTTTATGTCAGTCTTGCCTAATCAATTAGAATTATAGACTACTTGAAGACTTGAATAATCATCCACATTTTATTTATTTATACAACCCATGTTGCTCCAAAACATGATTTAAGCATGTTTCTTCCACATATTATGCTTTCGCCTTTGCTACAGCGGTGGACATTTGATTATGGAGGGTCAGCATTTTATGAGCTAAGAGCACATGTGACCAGCAGAGAAATTCTTGTTGTTTTTCATTTAATTTTTTATCTATTTGAAAGTCCCACAAAGATAAATTGTATTTATCAAATCAGCTTTATCGGGAAAAGGAACTTCAGAGACTCTTCCAGCCAGTGAAAAAGTGTTGACACAAAACATACTAGTTATAAATTAAACATCAATTGCTTTTCTATTAATATGTGCATATTATCACTTAAAATCATTGTATGCCTTAATATAAATTTTCCTTAGATTTGTTATATTGGAAATTCATATTTTATGAAAGAACAATTGCTACGGTCCTGTGGCTTTTATCCCTTAGCAGCTGTGTCCAGCTGGTGGTCCACATTCCCGCTACTTCTTCAGTGAATGGAAACATTTAGGTCAATATTGATATAAAACTTCATGAACTTTCTTCTCTTTCAGCTCTGGTTCGCCTTTGTAAATGGATTTTCTGGGCAGATTTTATTTGAACGTTGGTGCATCGGCTTGTACAATGTGGTAAGCATTCTCCATCTGTCTGATAGCACACACAACTTCAGTGACATTCCTTTACTGTTTATGTCTGGGAAGTGTATCTAAGTCCATCATCTGTATACATAGCAGTCAGCACAAATACATCTTTAGGGCCTTTTGTTGCTGCGACACATCCTGCAGAAGCCCAAACTCTCCACACATGGTTTCAATCATAGCAGATCATTCTTGAATAACCCCATGAAATTATTAACCCATATATCTTGATAATGGACCCTTGTTACCTCCTTACTGAATGCCTGTGCAACATTTTCTAGTTTTTAGCTTGAGAAAATTTCTGAATTATATTTAAACTCATTCCACTTTGTGATTTTATTTCTGAATTTCTAAACATAGATATATGAGCATACAGGATGTGATCTAGTGTCCTTTTTATGTTTCTTAAAAGCAACAGTCCTGTGGAAGGACTTTCCTTTCACAGCTAGCGCTAAAATAATGAATTCTGACTTCCAGCTCCTGTGGTGAATGGTAACCAGTTTATTTGGTGTTTGTTAATGATCTTTAAGTTCTTTTTATATTACTTCATTGTAATGAGTGCAAAAGCTGTAATAAATATAAACTACAAGCTTAAATGACTACATAGCTACAGAGCTTTGTGTGTTACTGGCAGGGGTGAGCTGGGGGGTTGTACTAAGTGCTTTAGACACCCCAGTGTGGCAGGTTTTTTGAGTTGCACTTTCACACTTGTTTTAGACCCTAACTCTGACATTCTCTGCTTCATTATAAATAGGTATATATGGAAGTTACCAGACATAAGTAATATACAATAATGTATATTGTGGTGCTATAAATATTTACAGCTTGAATATACACTGTGGCTGGATATTCAAGGTATCCATACATTCAACCCTTGTTTGTTTGTTTGTTTGTTTGTTTGTTCCTCCCTTCCCTCCTTCCTCTTTCTCTCCCTCCCTCCCTCCCTCCCTTCCTCCCTCCCTCCCTTCCTCCCTTCCTTCCTTCCTTCCTTCTTTTCTTCCTTTTTCTTTTTTTTTGAGTAGCCACTATATTAGGTGCCTCGTATAAAATACTGCATATAACAGGTTGCCCCAGTCCTGTGCAGTTAAAGACTAAGAGACTTGTGTGCTTGCATATAAGCCTAACCAGTGGACAAAGACAACAGGGGGGTGAGGGCATGAGCGGGGAGGGGGAGATAAGGGGGGATGAGGACAAATATGTAATACCTCAATCAATAAAGAAATTAAAATTAAAAAAAGATAGAAAACAGATGCCTGGAGTATTCTGGGTGCCAACTCATCTGCTAAGATCCATATAAATAAATAAATAAATAAGGCTAAGAGAGTCAGATATGAAGACTAAATGACACTGAGACTGTTTGGATGTTGGGTATATACAGCATTGGTCAGTAACTGTGTTCCTCAACACAGAGTGCACTAACAAGTTTGTTGCTAATACTTACACCCAAATAGACAGCGGTGACAGGTGGTGAGAGCAGGACTGGACTGGTATTCATTTTTCACCTGTACTAGAAAAGCTACTCCAACCACCTACCACATGGATAGGACTCAAGCACCTCCCCTTGACAGATTGTTAACTTTGCAGGATTTAAAACTGTTTTTAAGCAGGTTAAAATTATGTGACCATTTAGGGGGAAATATGCTGACTGCTCCATAATGATTTAGTGCTAGAAAGGGCCAAACCCATGCCCACATATGTATTTAGAAACAAGAGGCTGAGACCTGGGAGACGGTCAGTTAGAGCTAAAGCCACAACGGGAATACATATCACCAGACTAAATGACAAATGAAGGTTAGCCCTATTTTCACACTCAGAGTATGAGAGCCAGATTGTTCTTTTAGTTCCATTCAGTCCTGGGCAATTCAAATTAATTAAAAAACTAAAATTGTGTGCCTACTCTTCATAAGATGCTGATAGGCTGGCTGTAGGATGATAATGGCCAAAATATGGTCCACAGACCACTTGCATGAGAATAACCAGGATTTGCTTAAAGATGCTGATTTTTTATCTCCAACCCAACCTAATGGAATTTCTCAGAGATACTGAATTTTAAACAAATTTTTCTAGTGAAGCTTATGCACATTAAAGACTCACAAAGATCTTTGATCAATAGGGCTGGGAATATTTTTTATCTACATTAGTTCCCCAGTCTATAGTGAAGAGAATATTGCAGCAGAGAAATAAATTTCCAGGTGAAACGGCCCTAAGGTTCTATGGAGCAGACAGTACAATTGTTGGAAAGATGGTAGAGAGTGGATATCAAGGATCTGTGAAGTGGGATCAGAGGGAAGGTCATTGATCTTCAGACTCAGTCATGGTGAGAGGACCAAAGCTTTTGAGAACATGGAGGTTTGCCTGCAGGCACATGTGCACACACCCTTGTAACACATTTATTTCTGAAGCTGTTGAATGTAAGTTAAGACATTATGTCCTTACTACTTGATACTTTATTGCACAGTTGCTAAGATAATTCTCTTAGATAACTGCAGTGTAATGACCAAAATCTGAAAATTCAACAAGGATATGGTACTCTTATCTAATCCACATTAGTCCATATTTCAATTTCACTATATTATTCCAATAATGTACTATTTTGAAATATTTTTCTACTCCAGAATCACTCTCCTCAAAAACCCAGTGCAAGACAGTTTGTGACATGTATGGCATTTTCTCTTCTGCACTGGGTTCTTCCTTTCATTTTCTTTAAACAATACTTATGCTTTTCTTTTTCTTCTTTGTTTGAGTCCCACAGGCAGCTAAAGTAGCACATCACTGCTTCTCAGTGTAACTCTCATAGCAGATGAAATAGCAGTAAACTGACAAACACTTACATCTCTCCAAATAATGAATGAATGCTGTCCCATTGGACTCTCATTATTATTCTAGTATTTCAAATTTCTACAGCATTTTATTTTATGGATAGAATAAGAGTACAGAGGCCAGCAGTGACAAACACACACACACACACACACACACACACACACACACACACACACACACACACACACACACACACAAACAAACAAACAAAAACTAGCATTATCAGATGGATTTCAGCCAAATTTATTGATTATTTTAGTGAAGCAATAACTTTGTTTTTAAACTGTTTCAGAAAATTTATACTATTTAATTTTATCAAGCCAGAATAACTTAAAGTAAACTATAGTTTTTATTAGCCAGTGTCACTTAAAATATAAATACAAAAATTCTAAGTAAGACATCAGCAAATAGAGTTCAGGAGTGTATTAAAAAAACAAAATATTTGACTAAGTAAAGTTGAAATAAATTTTACAGGAGGTTCAAAATAAATTTTAAAAATTCTAAATATCACTGTATCAACCACACACACACAAAAAAATACATGATGAAAAGTATTTGAGGCAATTCAGCTGCCATTCCCAAAATAAGAACTCTAAGCAAAATAAGAAAGAAGCCACATAACATAATGCAGATTCTTTATAAAACATGTTGCCATAAATGGTAATATTTTAAAACTATGTCATTTTAAATAAGAAATTAGGGATACCCTGCTATTGTGGCTCAGTGGTTGAGCATTGACCCATGAATCAAGAAATCACAGTTGAATTCACGGTCAGGGCGCATGCCCAGATTGTGGGTTCTATTCTTAATAGGGAGCATGCATGTCCAAAGAGGGCAATGAAAAGGGTAAACGTATCTTTGCTAAACATTAGACTGTCCTATAAAGCCACTGTAAGCAAATCTAGGTGATATTAACATAGAACTAGACAAATAAGCCAGAGAATCTAGAACAAGATTTCAGTTTTAAATCCTAGGTCTATCATATGTGAGAACATAATAAATGTCAAAGATGGTATTTCCATTTAGTAGAAAGTTTGGATTAATTAGTTGTATTCTCACAACTGGTTCTTTATTTGGGGAAAAAAAATTGTACCCCCATCTTAAATCACATAGTCAATAAATTCCAGATATAATAAGATTTAAATGTGAAAAATAAAACTATAAGACTCCTGAAGAAACTCCTAAAAACTTCATAACCACAATTGGACATTTCAAAGCTATCCTTAACCACATAAAAATTAAAAGCTTTTATATGGCAAAAGAAATTATAAAGAAAGCCAGTAGACAAAGATTGCATTTGGATGAAATTTTATTACATAAAGACAGAGTTGATATCTATTATATGCAAAGAACTCTTAGAAAAGGTGATAAAACATGAATGGAAAAAGTACAAAGGATTTGACTAGACATTTTCAAATCCAAATGCTCAACAATTATATGGAAACATGATCAAAATCACTGGTAGTTGGGGAAATGTAAATATTTTTAAAGAAAGAGTTAGTACCTTTAATTTTTTTCAGACTAGAGAATATTAAGTATAACATAACACCCATTGTTGATAAGAAAGCAGAGGAAAGATTACTGTTGTCCTTTGAGAAGGAAAAAGAAAATGATTAGAACTTTTTAGGAAAGCAACCAAACAGAATCTGGTAAAATTTAAAATACTCAAATCTTTTTACCAAGCAACCCTACTTCAGGAAATCCATCCCATAGAAATAAAATACAAAGTAAAAATGGTATAATATATTATAGATGTTTATTGCATAATGTTTGTGAGAACAAAGACCTAGAAACAAAAATGAATGCACAGTTGAAAAAGTATGGTACATCTATGCTATGAATTATTATGTGAGCAGGAAAATGCTGCATTAGTTTCAGACCCAGGAGACTCGGAGGGCTTCCCATGATGTATTGTTTAGTGAGAAAAATGTTATGAAGAAAAATGTGAATGTCTTATTTCTGTAAAACAAATAATGACCCCTCCACAGTATATATGTGTGTGAGGCATGCAGTAAGCAGGGTGAGACTCTCAGAGGGCCTCCTAGGTTGGTAGCCTTGCGGTGAAGGATGGGGAGGATTTGAAGAGGGTAGAAGGAGAAAGTCGGGTGGAAAGGGAGAAGAAAAAATAAGATGGCAGTATTGATGGTGTACACTGTATGCACCACAAACAGGGTACATATGTGCACATTTCTCAGGACAGTTTGTGCGCTAAGAGTATGCAGAGCTTCTGAGATGTTTGTTCCCAGCATCTTCTTCTAGGCATTAGACAGATAACTTCTGTTATTGTGAGGAAAATTAGGGCAACTACTCCTGGTCTTTTTCTCCTTGAAATCTCTAGCGCACTGAAATCCCTGGGCTGTTTTCCCTTCTGCTCCAGGTGAGGGGAGGAGCCTGCGAGTTGTGCTGGCCTCCTTCCTCCACCACGCTGCCGATGGCTCTCCCAGCAGACCTGGGAAAGCTCGTTTCTCAGGCTCCCCGTAACTGGTGTGCATTCGGAGTTCTCTCAGAGACACGCTCACAGTTCCCATGGGCTGGAGAGCTTGCCAGGTTTGCGGGTATGGATTTGCTCAGCGCCGATGCTGAGCAGTGAGGGACTCAGACAGCCTCGGTGACCCGTGGCCCGGACCACAGAGGAGGATGACCCACAGGCAGTTACCGCGCCACCCAGACTGAAATGGCATATTTATTCCAACCTCTTCTTCAGCATCTGGCTTTCTCTTTCGGAAACAAAAACACAAGCATGTCACTCCCCTCTAGAGTACTACAGGTAAAAGTATTAGGAAGCACTACCTCCCCAAATTCATTGTCGCAGGAGGTAGTTCTATCACCTTCCCAGCCTTGTCTTACACTGAGTCCTCAGCCAGCCACCATCTGGATGTCTTAGATGCCCCCCCCCCCCCCCAATGTGCCAGGTGCACTAATGCCTCAAGGCTTTGTGAGGGGTGTCCGTTTATGGAGTGCTTCCTCCTGCTCCCCTCTCATGCACATCCCTTATCATCCTGCCAAATTCTACAGGTACAATGCCTTACAGTTCAGATGCTCTTTGGTCTGAGAATCCTTTCCTGACTCCCTCTTCTCCTTCCCCACTCTTCCCATGAGTAATTTTGCAGAGCACTGTGTTTTATGTTTGTTTATTTGCTTGTTGCTGGCTATCCCGTCCCACCTCTGTAGTAGACTGAGTTCTTGGAGGTCAGAGACCTGTTTCTTCTCCATTTTTTTCTTGTTTTCTATCTCTGTATTCCTGGGGTTTATCACAGAATCTGGCCCATAATTCACTCCCAATAAATGTCTGCCAAATGAATAATGAAGTACATCATGCTTCCTGAATTTTGATCATAAAATCAGGATGGGGGGTTGTAAAATTGTGCCTCTGCTGGCACTAACAGAAGACACACTTCACAAAGCTAAGGAAGGTGTGATTCTAAATCACCACTCATCTTACAAAGGAAGGTAGCTGTTCATTTAACCAGCTTTCTTGGCTAATCAAATGTTTGCACTGTTTTTAGTTCTATATATTTATTTTATGCTGATTAAACAATAGTTGAAAATGGTCTTTCATTTATTTTCTTTGTTTGGATGGTGTCTCCGGAGTTGTGAATCATTGATGCTCAGGTTTGAACTTGCCTGAGAGTTAAGTCATCATTCCATGGAGCTGAAACACTTGAGCTGTGTGAATGGAAAGGTCTCTTTTAATGGCTCCTTGTTCTCCACACAGATTTTCACCGCATTACCACCTTTCACTCTGGGAATCTTTGAGAGATCTTGCACTCAGGAGAGCATGCTCAGGTTTCCACAGCTCTACAAAATTACCCAGAATGCTGAAGGCTTCAACACAAAGGTAAACAGAATGTTTTCACAGAATTATCGCCTGAAAAATGAGTCAGCACTGCTTTTTGTCTCCCTGCTCTAGTTGTAAGCCTGTGAAATCACTGCAGCTTCAGAGAGAATATTTTTTAATATTGATTGTTAGAGAGAAAAGAAGGGAGAGAGAGGTAGAAACATCGATGGGCGAGAATCAACATCTATCTGCTGCCTCCTGCACATCTCCTACTGGGGATTGAGCCTGCAACCCAGGCAGGCATGTGCCCTGATTGGGAACCAGTGACCTCTTGGTTCATAGGTTGATGCTCAACCACTGAGCCACACCTGCCCGGTGAGAGAATATTTTTAATTAATTAATTTTATTTTATTTTTTCCATCACCTTTTTTCCAACTCCCCCTGCCCCCACCACCACCACACTGTTGTCCATATCCATGAGTTCTAGAAAGAACAGTTGAATGAGGTAAGACCAGGGCCCTTCTTTAACATAGCAAGCCCAGTGAGTTTTAGATGACAAATCAGAAAGGAAGTTGCCATGTGGCACATGGTGCTCCTTTTGGTTCTTCTTTGTCAACTCCTTCCTTCTTCTCCACATGTGCCTCAGACATCAGTGTGGCCAGGAGCACCCATGGCCCCAGTTCCTTTAGGATCAGCCATCAGACATGCCCCTCCCCATTTCATAAAGCCCTGCACTTAGGAGGCTAGAGCCTTCTTACCACTATTACATGTTTTGTCATTTAAAAAACTATATTACTTTAGTTAGTAAATAAAATTGTCCAGATGTGGACACAGAAATTAAGTCAGTCATGGGTATTTTTTTTTTTTTTTTTTTTTTTTTTTTTTTTTTTTTTTTTAGGATAGAGAATCAGAAAAGAAAAAAACATTAGACAAAAAGGGTCAGGCGATCTTGACAAGAGTCAGGCAGGCACTGGGTTAGGTGTCCCAGAGATTCTGCAGTCATGATGGCTGAGGGGGTCTCACCCGACTGCCACTCACAGCTGAGAGTGGCAGAGCAGTTGCTGCCACCGGCCGGAAGGGAAGAATGGCCTGGCTTGGAGGAAGAGGCAAAGCTGTGAGCTCACCTGCAAGCCACGTTTCTGGCAGGTTTGTGCAGGAGGGGATTGGGAAGTTTAAACAGAGGTCCACTGCCCTGGTCAGTGACAATACTGGATTCTGGTTGGGTACATGATTTTTTTTTGTAGCCCCTGGAGGCTTGGTAAGGAAGACATACGGAATTCTCAAAAAGAGAGCAATGTCTGAAGACTTCATTTTAAGCCAGGTATTACTGACAGCCTTCCTTCAGAGCTGCCTTATTTTGGAGCATGCCAGGATCCGGAAAAAAATAAAAGGAATTCTATTGGTTCTGGTATGTTTCATACACAGGAGACTTGGATGACTGTGTCAATCCTTGTTTTCTGTGACTCCATCAGTGGGAAATATTTATCAATGGCTATTTGTTCAGCATTATTTACATAAATCAAATCTGTTTTTTACAGAGTTTGAATGCAAAGGCTGTGTAAGGTGCAGAATAAGTAGGGAATGGATCCTTAAAGGTAATAGGGCTGAGAAGGATCTGAGGCTTATTTGCAGGCACCGTGGAGATCTAAGAAGTCGGGGGAGGGGAGTATAGAAGCGAGGAAGAAAGTAAACATTTAAAATAAAACCTCTTTGTCTTATAACTTTTCATTATTTTATGTTGTCCTACCTAGGATTAAACTATATGACAATTCCCAGATAAATCTGTAAATTTTTAAGTAAATTTAATCTGGCTTTAGTAGTTCTATTATCTCAATGGTTAAACGGATAATTAAATGCATTCATGAAACTGTAATTTAGAAGAAAATAAATTTTGCATTCCTTTGTTTGACCTTACAAATGTTAAGGTAAAGAGAATTTTTAAATGTGCATGATATTAACCAAAATTCTAAAAATTAAAAAGTTGAATGGAGAGATTTAAAGGAGTAAAACAAAAGAGAATGCTGTGTAAGAATTTCATTTGAAATGTTTTTAATGCTTTCAGAAAACACACAGTTTCAGTCTCCTATTAACAATTTTGACCAAATAACCTTTTTTCTGGATGAATTTGTTGTCTTTGGTTGTAAAAATTTGGTGTCTTTCTTAGGGTTCTAAAGAAAACAGCTCATAATTCATTTTTTCAGATGTGGATAGATTGTATATTGGTCTAAGTACATGTGTATATACATTCAGGTCTTTGTACTAAATAATAGTATCTGGAGATCATCCAGTCATTTGTGTGTAAAAAGTGAGGAAATCGTTTTGTTTTGCTTTGTTTTGTTTAACTTCAAGAATAATATGCTACTCCTGGAGCCGTGCAGCATGCTGCCAGTGTCCCTCACAATGAGGCGTTTGTTGAGTTACACGGAGGTCAGAGTTGTGGGCAGATCCTGACTCCCTCGGTTTGTTTTCCCGTAGGTTTTCTGGGGTCACTGCATCAACGCCTTGGTCCACTCCCTCATCCTCTTCTGGTTTCCCATGAAGGCGCTGGAGCACGGTAACGGCTTGATTTCCACTGTCAGCAAGTAGCTTTGCAATCCCTCGCCTGCCAGTTGCTCACAATTTTTTGCCCAGTTCTGCAGACTTAGAGATCATAAGACCAAATCTGAGAAGAAAAACATACCTAAAATCTAATGAGCCCTCGTCTCAGGTTTATAGCTCATAGGTTTCATCCACTCTGGCTCTAAAAACCCATTTTCTTTCCAGTTGCCTGGAGAGCTTAAATCCTAGGAATCCTAGACTTTATTTTTAATAACTGTTTGAGTTAAGGATTTTGAAGGAAAGCACTATACTATAATGAAACATGGATGCCTCTTGTCTCTGAGTTTGAAATTTTTTGTTAATTATTTGGGCTTTCATTTTCCAAGCTACACAAACCTTAGGCAGAGTAACTTAAATCTTTTAAAAGTTTAGTCTTAACCTAGTTTCCTGAGTCTCCTCTCCTTGGCATATACTTTTCAAGCAAATATTTAAAATGTGTTTAAGGACATAGCTGCTGATGAGTTGTAGTCTACCCTACAGCTAGAAGATGTTTGAGAAAAGCCACTGACTCCACATGTGTGCACACTTCTCAATGTATCTGAATGTTGCCTCCCTCTCACAGAGACAGCTTTTAGTCTCAGAAAACAAAAAGGTATCACGAGAATGCTACTCTTTCATCCCTTTCAAATAGTGATAATTCCCCTGGGAAAAATTACTCCAAATGTTGACTAGACAAGGCCTTTGATTGTTCAGAGACCCAAAGAATATAAAGTTTCCAAGCTTCTTTGTTTCTGTGTCAATGTGTTCTGTGCTTCAAGCAGAAATGATTCATCCTCACTGATATTAACCTATTAAATCCTGACAGATAAAATGCATGCACTGCCAATTTATTCTACCCTATGACCTATTCCTTCCATTTCCTCAGACCTCACATGCAAGGCCCTCTGTGGGGCCCTTTGAGGGTCCCTAAGTCTCTAGATCAGAAAATAAAACATCCCCAAAGGAATGTTCTAGTGTGATCATTTTTGTTTAACTCTAAAGCTTTCCTGTGATTCATCTTTACTCAGGGTGGATTTAATTTCTCTTGAAATGATTTTGCAATGGGTTTACGAATATAAGAGTGTTGGATATGGTTTGTTTCAGTAGTTCTGACAATTTAGTGGTAGAGGCAGCCATCATTTTATTAGGACCGACTGCAGATGGGAAGCAACATGTCTGATGAACATCAGGACAATTTTGGCAACTGTTCTTTTGTCCCTGAGCCCAGCTGTTTGTGCTTAGGAAAAGACAGTAAATAGTGCAGGTTGACTGCAGTATTACCTCGAGACCCAGTATCCTTAACATGTAGACATTACACTCTGTTTTGGTCTGAAATGCTTGTCTTTGGACTCTGAGTTTTACAAGATCGTCATTTACTTACCTGCTTCGAAAGGAACTAATATGGCCACATTCTGCAGTAAAAACATTGGTTTTCTAATCCTGGAGCTATGATTATGTAGTATGAAATTGTGGCTTATAGTTTATAGTGGAATTGCTATAGTTCACTAGATTTTTTGTTACATAAATCCATTTATTTGCTTCATGCTCTATGTTTAGAGGATAGACTCCCAAATGTTACTAATTTACTTGATGTATCATCAAGTGAATTTCAAGCTAGCTTCTGCTGCCCTTATCTTCTTTCCTCAAATTCACAATTTGCCCGATAGTCAGTCAATAGGGTGATTTTTTTTTCTTATTTCTATTATTATCATCATCATTGATATCATCATATGGTTATATTTATTAAGGCTTCAGCATTGAGGATATTTTCAATTGTATTGTAAACAATAACCTATTGAGTGAAATAGTTTAAGATTAAATAAATTGCAAATATTAGTTGACTTCCTCTAACAAATTGCATGAGTATTTTATTTTTTTAAACATATTTTATTGATTTTTTTTAATTTATTTTTTTACAGAGAGCAAGGGAGAGAGATAGAGAGCTAGAAACATCGATGAGAGAAATGCATCGACCAGCGGCCTCCTGCCCACAACCAATGTGCATGCCCTTGACAGGAATCGAACCTGGGACCTTTCAGTCCACAGACCGACACTCTATCCACTGAGCCAAACCACTTTCAGCTGCATGAGTATTTTAGAATTAATTGCTAAATTCTCACTATTCGTGTGCAGCAAAAATGATTACATCATTGTTCATTAACCTTATTAATTCATGTAATATTTATATCCAAAACACTGTAATAGATTCTAAGGGTAGTAGGAATATAGATCAATGGAGTCTGATCTTCAAAGAGTTTGTAGTCTGATGAGGGAGATTATATTCACAAACGGATAATTCCAGCACAAAGTATAAAATACACTGTTTCACGTAAAATATAGACAAAGTGCTATCAGATTTCCGAGGGCTGAGAAAGAGATGCCTTTTGTTTGGGATTATTAATAGTTTGTTAGGAAAGAGAACATTTAGGCTTAACCTGGGAGTCAAGTAGGACTGAGATGTGTAGGAATGGAGGGAGGAGCCAGGCAAAGAAGGGAATTTTAGAGCAGATGTGGAAAGCTGTGAGAAGTGCATTGCTTCAAGGGTGAAAGATAATGAAAAGTTTCAGGAAGCAGGTAAAAGCTGGATTATAGAGGGCTTTGAATGTGAGGTTAGGAAACTGGGACTTAGGTGTCAGGGGACAAGATGGCGGCCAAACAGACGGACTTGTTCTGAGCCTGGTCCCAGAACAGATAGAGGCAGCATCTGAGAGTTGCTCAGGGAGTATTGATTGGCAAGCTAAGGGGTAGCAGAACTCTAAAGGAAGGTAAAGGTCTGCTGGACAGGATTTCCTGACCAAGCAGCCAGCACTGCGGCGGCAGAGACCTCTCCCAGAGCTATGGGCTCAGAGGGAAGGCTGCACTATCTTACCAAGAAAGGAGGATCTTCTCTGAGGCCTGGAAAACCCACAGCAGAGGAGACCATCGAACAGCTTTGACGCCCCAATTGGTGCAAACACTTGGATTCAAGGGAGTTTTTCAATCAGCCATGGAAAGGAGAAGGAATACTGCATAACCAGACATCCTGAAAAGAGAGACCATGGACAGACAAAGAAATAGCCCGCACATGAAAGAAAAGCAGGCATCACCATAAAAGGAAGTAAATGAATTAGAGGCAAGTGACCTACCAGAGCAAGAATTCAGAGTAATGATCATAGGTTGGCTAAAAAGAATGGAAGAGAAATTTGATGATATGAATAAGAAACAAGAGGAAATGAAGAAGAACCAAGAGGAATTGAAGAAGAACCAAGAGGAAATGAAGATGAACCAAGAAGAAATAAAAATGGCATCGCTACTATGAAGAACTCAATAAAAAGCATCAAGAGTTGACTAGAAGAAGCAGAGGACTGCATCAGTGAGCTAGAAGACAAGATGGAAAAAAATACCCAATTAAAGCAGCTTCTGGGAAAAAAAATTAAAGAGCAGGAGGAGAGCCTAATGAAATTTTGGGACAATACAAAACAAAACAATATTAGAATAATAGGCGTTCGAGAAGGAAAGGAAACTGAGGAAGACATGGAAAAGGTATTTCAAGAAATAATGACAGAAAACTTTCCTGAGAGAGAGAAGAAAAAACCCACACAAATCCAAGATGCTCACAGAGTCCCAAGCAAAATGAATCCCAGAAGACTGATGCCAAGGCATATTATAATTAAATTGGCAAACACCAACAACAAAGTAAGAATCTTAAAAGCAGCCAGAGAGAGGCAGAAAATTACATATAAAGGAACCCCCATCAAACTAGCAACTGATTTCTCCACAGAAACTCATCAGGCCAGAAGGGAATGGGATAAAATATACAAAATCATGCAAAGGAAGGGTCTGAATCCAAGAATACTGTACCCAGCAAGGCTGTCAATCAAAATTGAAGGTGAAATCAGAAGCTTCACAGACAAAAACAGACTAAAGGAACTTATCTCCACCAAACCAGCAATGCAAGAAATGCTAAAGGGTCTACTGTAAAAATAAAGAAATAGGAAGCAAAGAAGGAACACAGGGGTATAGAATAAAAATGGCGTCAAATGAGTACCTACCAAAAATATCTTTAAATGTAAATGGATTAAATGCTCCAATCAAAAGACATAGGGTACAGATTGGATAAAAAAGCAAGACCCATATATCTGTTGTCTACAAGAAATCCACTTCAGAAAACAAAGACGCACACAGACTGAGGGTGAAGGGATGGAAAAAGGTTTTTCAGGTGAATGGAAATGAAAAAAAAGCTGGGGTAGCAATACTTATATCTGAAAAAATTAGATCTCAGAGTGAAGGACATAACAAGAGATAATGAAGGCCACTTCATAATATTAAAGGGAGCAATCCAACAAGAAGAAATAACCCTGGAAAATATATATGCACCCAATACGGGAGCGCCCAAATACATTAAAAAACAACAACAACAACAACAACTGCTGGAGGACATTAAGGGAGAAATTAATAGCAATACAATCATGGTAAGAGATTTTAATACCCCACTGTCACCCTTGAACAAATCATCTAAACAAAAAATCAGCAAAGAAATATTAATCCTAAATGACTCACTAGACCAGATGGAATTAATCGACATCTTCAGAGCATTCCACCCCAAAGCCACAGAATATACATTCTTCTCAAGTGCACATGGGACATTTTCAAAGATAGACCACATTTTGGGACATAGGCAAAGTCTCTTCAAATTCAAGAAGATAGAAATCACATTAAGCATCTTCTCAGATCATACTGGCATAAAACTGGAAATTAACTACAATAAAAATAATTTAAAGAAATCAAACACATGGAGACTAAATAGCATGCTATTAAACAAGGACTGGGTTACCAGAGAAATCAAGAAAGAAATTAAAAACATCTTGGAAACAAATGACAATGAAAACACAACAATCCAAAATCTATGGGACACAGCAAAAGCAGTTTTGAGAGGGAAATCCATATCCCTACAAGCCTATTGCAAAAAACAAGAAAAAATGGTAACAAATTATCTAA